TTAAAAGGGCAGTATACCCAAATTTCATGTTTTCGTCTAAAGATAGATTAAAAATATCTAAGAGTAACGGTGAAAACCGCAAGTCGCTACGCCGTTTCGTTATTAAATGGCAAGGTGTCGAATTTAAAAAACGGTCCTTGTGACGTCATCCCGACAAATGGGTCGGTGGCGCGCTATAGCAATATATGGATTCGATGACGTTTGACGTGTTAATTTGAGACTGGTAGTCAGTGATCTGCATTATTTTCAAAAATACCTAACTTTGTGTTTTCCGCTGCAACAATAATTTGAAAAATGCCAATGTTACATTGCAAATTTTCCCCGAGAAAAGAAGGAGCCGTGTCGAAATAAAGTCTGGAAAAGTAGAAAAAGCCGCTGAATCATAGTATAGTCACGTCGTTTGCAGTGTCCACTTTAAAGATGATAATTTTTTTGGAAGATACAAGAAGGAAAGGACCCTGTGCATCAGCATAAAGTTTTGAGAAGGCTAACAATACTGCAATCCCTTCTTTACATCTCACAGGAAACAAAGGTCCTAATAAAGCTATAAAACGTCAGTCAACTTATCTAAGAAAGTAAGATTGTGTCTGATTGCTTATTGTGGGTAAACGATCAATTTCGTAGTGGAGAAACCAGTTCAACATCAAACATATGCCACAATCAAACAGAAGAACTGAATCAAATGGAACCAATACCGCTTACTGAAAGCATAGGTATCCAATCTGAGCTGGGTGCAGAAATTTATTACAAATATTCAAATTTATATGAGGATATTATGTTCGCATGATACTTCAGTAAGGTTTTCTTGTTTTTTTTCAAAGGAAAGCGAAATAGAATATGAAAGAACTGCCGCGTTCGGACTGCTTGGATCCGTGCCGCCGCACCCACGATGTCGGGATGACGTCACATGTTCTTTCATCGTTAATAATTTGAAAACTACTCATCGTAGAAAACTCCGGTTTGAAATTTTGTTCTTAGATTTTCTTCTACAATTTTTTTGATTTTGGGTATACTACCCCTTTAATTTATTTAACAAAAGATACCAAATCTAACTCAATAATCCCCCTTAAACCTCTATAATATGTGGAGGTTTTAAATTTAATAAATTTTGTAAGTATTTCTCTTGTTTTTTTACTCGTTCTTCACGACACAATGCGGTGTCACACGCCATTACAAATAAAAAAGGGTTTATAACCTAATAGGTATGGGGAATTTGCTTAAATTTCGTAATTTAAATGCGACTTTCAAGTGGGAGCGCTTTCGTTTTTCAGGAAATTTTCGCTTCAAATAATGCCCTTTATTTTTGAATAATTAACTTACCTGCTATCGTATACGTATTTATGTAGTAATTACACCTTGCGTAATATTAAATCATGCTTCATGGTTGTAACCAAAAGGTTGCTGTCGTCATACATTCTCTAAAAAAGAGGACAAATAAATCTTTCGTAAAATGTTCAGGCCGTTACACTTTCCATCTGAAGCATATTATTAAAACTTCCGTTTCGCAATTTTTAGATAGATTATTGTATTAGTTTTGTTATTTTTGTAGAAGAACCGTGCGTCCTATACTGTATAAATGAAAGGAGGGTCTACTCCAAATTAGCGCCTAGGGTTAAGGATGGAACGAAATGTAAAAGCGGAACCAAAGACATGTGCATTAGTGGAAGCTGCAAAGTAAGTGCTCGAGCAAAGCTCGATTTATTTCAAGTTTGATATAGAAGGTGGGATGCGATTACATTATTGACTCGGATGCGATTGAGGACCAATGCGGAATTTGTAAGGGCGACGGCACTCAGTGCAAAATAGTCGAGGAAACGTATTACGATGCTCCCGGTCATGGTAAATTCGCTGGGAGTGCCTAATCCGATATTAATAATACGTTTCAGGATACGTGAAGGTGGCGACGATAATGAAGGGTAGTCGTAATGTCTATTTTGACGAACTCAAACCTTCGGACAACACAATTGCCGTTAGTGCCGCCGACGAGAAGAAGTTTTATTTAAACGGCGACTTGTAAAATTGTTAACCCGGCACACAAATGCCGCCTAATGAATTGTGACATTCCTTTTAGCACGGAACAACAGGATGGAGTTCACGACGTTGGGGGTGTCGAGGGTATCTACAATCATCCTGAGCCTAACAAAGAAAGTTTGGTAATATACGGCCCATTGAAAGAAGATATTGTGTTATTTGTAAGTTTCAATGTTTCTCCGTTCTGATTACACTACGCGCGCTTTCAAATTTTGCTTTTGTTAGTTTCTTTTGTTCATCCGTTGAGTTCATGTTAACCCCTAATGTAGGGTTATTATACTACACAATAACACTTGCCTCGGCACAATTAAGCGAATAGGTTAGGATTATCTAAAATTCTGGTGGCAAAGGAAGCGGCAAGAGAGATAAGGAGCTTTAAAAATAAATTATGTATAAGAGTGCACCACCCTTCAGTTCAATGATATGTAAAGCCGTGATAGATGAATTTAGTTACATTGTATCGTACACTTTTTGCTTTACAAATCTATTGAACACTCGAGGTTATATCGTGGAAAAAGAAAAATTCCAAATTTAATACCACGGCTTAATCTGTTACTGTCATCCCGGTTTAAGTTTAAAAACTCGGCAACTGATTTCCGGCATTTCATCGTGCAGTTTTTACGGAAATCGCTCCCGTTCTAAAAGAAACTTACAATATAACCTTTCACTACAGTAAATTGCTCTTCTATTCATTAGCAATACTTTCAGGAAGCTATTACATTGGTTTTTGCAATGGATACCACTTTGTTTGTTCCTTTGTAGTTACCATCTATATAATCGTGATATTAGAAAACAAGCATTACGTCTATTCGGTCTATTCTCCAGAAAAATTCTCTAAATAAGGATTTAAAAATGAAAATTGCACGTATAATCATAAAAATGAATTAAATTCCCATATTCAGGCGAGGTGTTTCATCCTTTCTCCTGGTGAAATTGGTATCTATCATTTGTTTCACTTTATCTACGTTTACGGTTAAAGTGATCACTTTATTTATTCTTACGATTACATTCAAACCTATTAAACTGTTATTTTAACATATGCTAATAAACAATATTTTGCACTTGCTAGAACTGGAGCTACGGAGGTAAGACTCAGATGGTGTTTCGAAGGAAGCATTCATTATACAATATACCTCCTGTTTTATTTTAGTTGACTCAGCGGATATCTCGGCCACTGTTAGAGATACGACAAAACCGAGGACAAAACGTTACAGAAGAAAAGTTGTTCTACATTTAATTTTGAATTATTATTATTGTCACAGCGGTTTAGGATATTTGGGCGCGGTCGTTTGGGCGGGCCGTGTGGGCGCAGCCGTTTCAACGTGGGGACACTTGGACCCGAGACATTTAGGCGCGAGGAAATTTATCAAAATGTGTTAGTAGCCAAATTTAGAATTTTATGAAACTTCATTTTCCAGTAGGTAAATACCAAAACATCTTTTTTGAAGAAACTTCTTTATTTCTATACGAATTTATTTCAAAATTTATTTATTATAAGTTTAAATTATTTTCTAGCGCCCAAGAGTCCCTGCACTCAAACGGCTGCGCCCAAACGCCCAAATATCGATTTATGTTTTTAAGTGATTCGATAATTTTTGTTACGTTCACTTTGAGGAAACGTAACAAAATTGCCTGTGGAGAAGCAGACGGTAAGCTGAGGCAAGTAAGTCGGGGTGAATGATGTTTTCTCACACACCAGCTAAAACGAAAAAAAATATAGTAAACCGGATAGGCGCCATTTAATCTTTAGTACATTTTAAAAAAAAAATAAAAGATAATGCTTACCGAAAAGGAGAACAAGGCAGACTACGAGATCATTGTTCTTGTATACTTGATAAGCTAAAGAAATGAAATAATTGACAGGATAGAGCTTCAACAATAATTGTGGTCATTCATTAAAAATGATCTCAAAATATTACAATTAGGACACTGCAATATGTTGATATGAAATCACAACGTTTAATTTTAACTCAATTTTTAGCAAAAAAAAAGGAGATAAACTCGTAGTTAGGAAATTACAACAACAATATCAAACAGGCTTCTGTAGAAAACATCGGACTATAATTGTTAAAACATTATGAAACAAATATAGTAATTACTATATCGAAAACGAATATGTAATCAAACGTTATATCAAGGAGTGATCAAGGAATAAATAAATAAATAAATAAATTAGTGCTTCTGTGACAACAATAGACGTGGACATGTGACAAAATGTGTAGTTTGAGTTAGATTACCCTTTGGACGTGTGTTGTGTGACAAATGGCCTACATATCGACCATTTGTAATTTGGGGGTAAACTTGGAGACTTTCTACTTCTTAACATTATTGAAAGTGCAATATTTTAGCAAATATATCATTTTTGAAACCCGATGAATCATTAATATAATCCTCTATATATGTGGGATGACATTTAATCGCAGTTTTTGTACAGGGAAGTGTCGAAGAGCTATTTTCTTATATCGTTTCTGATACAAGAATTAATTAAAATTATGATATTATGTACTACAATAATAATGTTTCTTAATATAAAAACGACATAAGAAAACGTATATTTTTTCCGAAATTCTAAAATTCAATTGTTTGGTATCCATTTCCTTTAGCCCAATCAGAGCTCGTAAACTTTTACTTTCACTTATAATTATTGTATAACTAGGGTCGTATTTGTATTGTATCTTTCAGTTGTTAACTGATGATGATAGATTTGATTTTAACACGCATTTATTTATATTCAAACGCTATTTGTAAAATTCCATCATTTTGTTTTTCAAAAATTCAAAAATTTTCATTTTCCTCCGGAGTTGAAGTAATATACTGACAACGTCAGGTGGACGTAATTTAGGCTGAAATAATATCTAAGATAATAACGGGTTACCATATATACGCGAATGTTTTAATTTAATTTTAATCTGAAGGATTTCATTACGAATAAGGACAGAATTGGTTTATTTAGTCGGAATTTGTTATGTTCGTGTCTATTTTTCCATTTTAGAATTGTTTTTAATTGTTTAAATTTAATTATTCGTGTAAATTCGTTTTTTTTAATTTGTAAGGTGTAAAAATTGCCTTATTTAAATTAAGGAACATCTGGTCGAGTGCATTTAAGTGTTAACTGGTTGTGTGCGATAAGCACGTTTTTATCGCAAAAGTTAATGGATTTCAATAATAATAATAGTTTAGTGGTAAGGAAGACTCACCAAAAATTCACTTTGTTCTTGTTTCTGGTCTGTACCAGTAATTATATGTTCCAAGAAACGGCTTTCATTTTCTATCGATGCATTTTGTTCTTGTTTCTGGTCTGTACCAGTAATTATATGTTCCAAGAAACGGGTTTCATTTTCTATCTATGCATTTTGTTCTTGTGAAAGATTTTTTGGTACGATTTTCGTACAGATTTTCCCTGGATTTTTGTGAAAATTGTACCCTGGATCTTATCTTGATACAACCATACTCAAAATCAAAGATATTGAATAATATTGACAAGCTTTTTAATTTGTTTATAGAATACAACTACTTCAATTATTTTATAACATTCACTCCTTGATACTTTATACAAAGTTTGTACAGAACACTTTTCAACAATTTTTCTTATCCCCAATCCATTACAGTTTTTTGAATAGGTTGTCTCATTCAAGTACAATTATTCTCCAATCAATCTGACTGACGATTGAACGAACCAGCTAGGTACCTCGTATAATATTTCAAAGCAGCACTCAACCCCACTACAATAAACACAAATTTAAACAAGAAAAAATCCCAAAGTTCCCAAAATGTAAGTGTTACTTTGTTGCACTCATGCATAGAGAAATTTTGAATGTTCATACCTTTTTATTTCCTTGAAATAACATTAAAATGCAACTGCAAACAAACAAATTCAAAATACGTTGTCACTTGAAGCTGGTTTTTCATATTATGTACATTCCGTCGTCCGCAATGAATCGAACGAGTAATGATTCACCTTACGCGGTATGGCGTGATGACCTTGTGTTTCAAAATATACGATATGAAACGATAATATTAAACTGGGCTAATTTAGACAACAAATTCAATTGTGGAAAGAAGTTTTATATACATTTAATATCATTTCAAGAACTTTTCAATTGCCCTAGTCAGTATCAGCTTTCACACTAAATTGCACTCCCAAAAAAACTCCCGGACAATTCACATCCTTGAAAAATTTGCTCCCTAGAACTTACTGCATCGTAAAATGTATATTTAAAAAAGTTGGACAACTCCAACGGATCGAGGGTAAGAAAACTCGCCTTTGGTGTATATGGGTTTATGTCAATTCATCGCGGAACTATAGTTTCCTGCGGGAACATATTCTTGTGTAACTAAAACCACTCGGCTACGCCTCGTGTTTCTAACATTACACGCGTTTCATTATGATGTTTATAACGAACCTTTTATCATTATTCATTAATAATAACTTTATGATAGGTTGTCTACTACGCAAATGAAAATGCAGGATACGTATATAGATTTTCCGAGCCGTCGTCACAGAATTATCAACCACGGTATCATTGGGAGTTTGTAGAATTCGGCGATTGTCCTGTGAGATGCGGCGGCGGAGTATTAATCGGCGAACCGGACTGTTTAGAAGAAACTGCTGGAAAGGTTAGCCCATCCTTTTGTCAAGGGTTAGAAAAGCCGCCGGCGATTACCAGAAAATGTAACGAGCAGCCTTGTAAAGTGAAGTGAGCTGACCTTTGCGATTTTATCACAATATGTACAATTATGAACTGTAGGTGGCGCGTTGGTAAATGGGGTATGTGTACGGCATGCAAGTTTCAATCTGGCGTACGTATCAGAGAGGTTGAGTGTGTTCGCGAATCGGAAAAACCGGGCGAAGAGGATACATTATTAGAAGATGACAAATGTCCTCCACCCAAACCCGGAACACGCGAGCTTTGCAATTCCCATAAGAAATGCTCTAAAAATAGGAGAGATATTGATGGATTTACCCCCGACGTTTTGAAACACTTGTGGTTGCAAAGTACAAATGAGTATATGTTTCAGGAACCCTTGGTAGGTGAACATTTTTATCTTCGCTAGAAATTAAGCGTAATTTTGTAGAGCTACAGCGAATCTATGTCAAACCCAAAAAAGTTACGTAGAATCCGACGTGGCATTATTAAAGCGAAAAGATTGCAAAGGGATTGCTCAAACTCAAAGACGGTCTCAAATTCAAACGCGACCCATAAGGTTGGTTCTCTCGTGAAGGATCGAGTTTTACCCCAAGACATCAAACTGATAGAAGTGCCCCTGGTTCAATCCCAACTTTCACTCAATTTAACTGATGCATCTTACGAGGCTATGGGAGATAAGATTTCCGATACCCTCGATGTTACCAAGGAGAAGGTATTCACAGGGAAAGAAGCCGCAGCACGCCTAAAAGAGATTCAGCATAAAAATAACACGAAATTAGATTAGAGCTTTTTTATATTATAAAAATAGTGTATATTAATACAATAAGTCTTACACTAATTGGAATTAAACCTTTGGTTTATTGGTACCTAAATCCTTCGATAACTTGTCGATGTATTTTAATGCCTCCTTGTTAGTTAAAGTTATAGATTTTGATTTATTTGAACGATTGCATGATTCGGAGAGCGACTGGTTGTCATCATGAATTGTTATGTTGACCTCTTTCGGATCTTCTTTGTCCACCGCGACTTTAAGCTGGTTCTGAAATAGCAGTGGAATATTGACGAACGGGTACTGGAACATACTTACAGCGTTTAAAATTGAATCCAAATCAGCAGAAGGCGCGTTTGTTGACTTTTTGGTAGAGGAGGGATCGTCATCAGCCTGGGGAAATTTGACTTCTTGTTGCGAATCCGATACTGTGCGACATAAACTGGTTAATAGTAATTAAAAATAAAGGAATCTGTACGTTTATTTCCACGTTTTGAATACTTCTTGTGTGAATCACAATTGCACTTCTCCTTCTCCTTTGGTTTTGGCGGGGCGCATCGGTAATCAGGAATGACGTCCGATTCGCCTTCTCCTTCACCCGTGGGTATTACGCACTTTACAAGACGCAGACGCTTACCATGGGGGCAGCTGCTGCACTCCTGCCAATCGCCAATCATCCATCTTAAAAAGTAGCTTGTTTTGTAAAACGGCTGTAGCGCAAACGTTTACCTTGGGACACACGGTGCAACTTCACATGGTCTGATCCGTTCTGCAGGCTTACCCTTACTTTTACAATAATGGTCATCTACTAGGCCTGCAATTTTTTCTTTACATTTGGGAACGGCGACCTCTGTTCCAGGACCACACTGCGCGGAGCACCTACTCCACTCTAAATAATCCCAATCGAAAGACGGCGTTCTGTTTGAAGTACTCGGAACCCCGTACGAATACTTTACGGTCACATCTCCCGACACTAAAATCTGAAAATAGGATAGTTTGGAACTCAACTGTATACCTGAACGCTACCCATATAGATATATCCCTGTTTATAGTTCCAGGTATACTCAGAGCTTCCTGCTTCGTTCGAATACTGCCTAACCAAGCTTTACTGCCAGATATGTTGTAAATGCCTGGAACATCGCTAAAGGGGACACGTGCACATCATTAAAATAGATTTTAGACGCACCCTTCAAGTAGAGTCGTATTTGACGAACAACCTCTTACTTGTATCGTAGAATCGGAAGGAAGGGTCTCTTCAATTTTGATATTAACGGATCCAGACGGGATATTCACTAACTTTTCTGGTTCTAAACCTCGCCGTTTTGTTACTGATACTTAAAAATGGAGTACTTACTATTTCGAGTTTCCTTGTTAAGCACGAAGCGGGTCTGTCCCGATATTACCTTGCAAGAGGTTCCGTCTCCTTTGCAAACCCCGCACCAGTCCTCCACTGCGTTTGATTCCAGATTTAAATCGCATGGAATTTCCTGTCGCATACAACATTACTAAATTGCACCGTTTCCTTCAATACCCACCCTGCAAATGCCGTCAATGCATATATCTCGCAAACCCCGTACGCATTTTGTGCCATCCTCCACTCTTGGACGCAGTGAGGCGATATCGCCTTGGTCATTTACACAAAACAAAACACACGGGTTTTCTAAAAGCGCACGGAAAATATTTGCAGTTTGGAAAGATATCAAGAGTTACCGTTCCCCATATGGATCGCTTTCCACTGGTGAACTTGGTTGTCCTCGGGATACACCCACTCGTTAAACTCGGAGCACTGCACATTTCTGAATGATGGCGCCCCAATTTCGCATGGCTAAAGATAATTGCACGCAAATGATGGTGGAGATACTTGGGTTCGTACCTGCGTGTTACATATTTTGTGCCTTTTGTGTTCACCGCTGCAGTATTTACCGCCATGAGAAGGCGCTGGTTTGTCACAGTGACGTTCTTGGGTGGCAACTCCGGCGCCGCAAGTTCTTGAGCAGGTACCCCAATGTGACCACGACGACCAGCCACCGTCGGTTGCTCCAGGTCTTTCACCCATTTCTAGACATTTTCCTCTGAAACACCACTACAATTTTCGAATGAGTGCAAGATTAAAACATGCATAGGTACGGTACTGATGATTGTGGTATTTAAAGAAATAAGTTTGTACGGTCGGGTTTGGCAAAAAAAGGGGATTATGTTAATGGTTTCTCACAAGCCTCACTTTGAGTCACTTCGCAATTCCATCTACAACATGATTTAACACAGTAAGCTTAAACACAAATGATTGAGGATAGGTACTTAAATAATCCATGTTAATGAAGTTATCCAATATTGCACCATAAAGAATCTATTTTTTAGATGCGTACGTAAAAAATATGCAATCCGAGACTGGATAGCAATGTATTTTTGTATAGAGCGTAGGTAATTGAAAATGATACAATGTGCAAGTGATGGCAAAACGACAGTGCAAGAAAACTTCACCCCAATGGTGGCAAAAAATTGTCGTACGGATGTCAACAATGTAATCTTATCATATGTGGTTTTTTACATGGCGGAAACATGAATGGTTCAAAAACCAATGATCCAAATTATCGGAGGAAATGGACAAGCGTGTGTTCTTAGGTGTCCCGGTAATAATTTTCTACCGCCACTTATTATTATCCACAAAAGTCACATATATTGTGTAAACAATTTGGTTTTGACGTTATTCCGGCATACAAAAAATAACTACGGGACACTCTGTAAATGAGAACATTTCAATGTGTTAAGTAACACTGAAGGGTTAATTGCGAATAAACACAAAATGGTTTACTTTATTTGAATTTCTACCTCCTTGTTTGTTTTTCCTTTTAGAAATGCGTATTTGTTTGTTTAAACTTTATTGCTTTGTAATTATTAAATTTAGTAGTAGTGGGGTGTGTCTGTTAAATGAGAAAACCAGCAGCAGTTGGTTCCGAAAAGTTGGGGCGAGCAAATCGAGATTTTAGTGAGTCATACTTGAACCTGTCGTACAAAACGTAGGAAAGTCAAAATGGAGTGACCTTTGAAGCAGCGTTATTCGATCAAGTTCTGTGTGAAACTGAACAAAACCGCTACGGGGACCTGCATTTTTCTGTAACAAAGCGAAGAGTGGTACACCAACCAGTCTCTAAGGCCGAAGAAAGCTCGCATGAGCAAGTCGTCTCTGAAATCCATACACACGGTTCTTTTCGACGCCAAAGAATTAGTACAAAGAGAGTTTGTACCTGCTCGCCAAACTTTAAATAGAAAATTTTACGAAAAAGTGTTTCGCCGCTTGAAAAATCACGTCTGCCAAGTTCGACCAGACATCGACAACAATTGGGATTCTCCATCATGAAAATGCACTCAGTAACAACAATACACTCCTACCGCAGCCTCCGTACAGCCCGGACCAGGTCCCCATCATATAACTTTTTGTCTTCTTCCTCATGAAGAGAGACCTGAAAGGTAAGCATTTTGACTAGATTCAAGCGGTTCAAGATGTTTTGGCTGAACAGTGTTGGCATTGCAGTTTCAGGGGGCCTATAAAAATTGAAAAAAAACTCTGGCAGTGTTGTATTAATGCCGAAGGCACTTTGAAGTACAATATTATCCAAATTCGTGTGTCCATTTTGTTGGTGTTCAGCTGCTTTTATTATGTTCAAGTTCAAGTTCTTCTCAACGGTGAATTTCGCTTTTATGGCTGCTTTTTCTTCTGAACTTCAATGAGACAATCTTTTGTTATGCATTCTCCACATAGCACTGCTCTCTGAAGTTGAGCTTCTCAGTGGAAGCCCCTGTCGATCTTTCCTAATATGTGGCTCCGCGTTTAACAGCTGCTTTGATCAACTTAGGATTTTTATAACGCTTCTGGCATGCTGTATTGTTGAGTTTTTTACTATACGCATGTTCTATTTTTCTTTTCACTTCCGCATACCTTCTCCCCTCTTTCAGATCATCTCCATCGTTACTTGCCTTTCTCCTCCTTTCCTTGTATCCTCCATGGTTCCTTCGATCACGTCCTTCAACTATTCCCTCTTAGCACATGACTAAGTCACATTCTTTTGCTTCTCAAAATTGTTTTATACAAAGATTTTGATTCTCCTATTGTTTCTAGCACCTCTTCGTTCCTAATCTGTCAAACCACTTTATTCCAAGCATTCTTTTCCATATATATCTACATTTCTATACCTTCAATTCCTTTTTTTTGCCTTTTTTTCAAAATTGTCCACGTTTCACATCCGTAGAGCATAACACTCCATGCTATTCTTTTCCTTAGATTCATGTCCAACTCCAACAAATACGATAACTACGAATATTGAAAATATGCTCCTTCATGGTGAAAATGAGAAAAAACCCAAAATAGTGCAAAATATTGCAGCTTTTGGGATATTCAGAAGTGACCCGGGGATCTGCTGAGGTCGAAACTTGGATTTTACATTTCAGTCACATTCTATAGGTACACGACAAAAATCGAAACTACCACCACTTGATCCAACTTAGACCTTTTCATGACAAGGTTACTGGGATAACTTTCTAAAAAATGCAAAAAAATCAATTCAATTTAAGAGCTACAGTAACAATTTCCAGAACCCGCAATTACGGTTATGGTTACAAGTAATAAAGCCGCCGCCCCAGCGATTGGCTTCTTGGGCAATGAAACTCCCATTGCACATTCGTTACAATTCGTACGATAAATAATTTCCTCAATTTACATAGGTTAACTTCTACAATTTATACACCTACCAGCCGACATTGTGAACGACATTGAAATATGCAATTTAGACGTTAACATGCCATCAAAGGCTAGCAGATGCACTTACTTATACGTACAAAAGTAAAAAATTATCAGTACTTCAGGAGTATACAATCCTTTATGAAAAAGTTACGTGCTTTCTAGCACCTGCAGACAGAAACAGTTGGATGTGCAAGTAAATTGCATTTATCAGTCTCCTTTTGGTGCGCTAGTAAAACAGTATGGCACAGTTCGGCATTATACACTATCACGACTGAGTATTCTAAATACGATTTGGTTGTACTAGAAAAATATGAAATGTTTAATAATAATTGTGTTTTACCTTCTTTTCTCCACAGTTGGTACCCGACGCGGCCGCTGTATGAGTTTCTATGCATCCTTTTTCTTCAACGTAACATATTAGGTTGTCACATTCCTGGAAAGTTTTGTTTTTTATGAAACGTCATAAAGTGGGAAATTCAGCAATGAGAGATTTCAAAATTAATGCAAATTTATTACCAACGTTCATTGTGGAACGGAGTATATCCACGAAGCACTTTATAAGCGTACTCATTTCAGTATTATACTCGTCGGAGTGTCAGACATAAAAGATTTAACCAAATAAAATTTAAAGTAGCTCTGTTGTACGTAATCAGAAAACGTAAACTATCTTCAACGCTGTAGAGCCGTACTCGAATAAGTACGCGTATTAGCTGTCTGGGCGAGATTAAATCTGCTTAATAGATAGGACGCATACTTAAGAATCCACAAAATGCGAGAGAATACAACCATTTAACAGGGGTATATTTACAACACAGCTTCGTTTTGAAGTTTCAATTTTGAGCTGGCGCACACTCGTTTCTCGGATAATTTAAGTGGCATTTGGTTTAATGGGTCCCGTTAAAACTGAAATGGAAGCTTGCTATTTTATATGAAGTAGCATCCTGTGAATTCTCTAATGCAGGCGGATATATTACACCGCAATGTTGCACAAAATTTGTTTTTCTCTATTTCTAACTTAAACTGTACTAAAAAAAATTGGTCTCGCGTATTTACCGCGACAGATTTGCATTGAAACTACCCCGTTTCCGCGCTACTTACTATTCCGACGTCACAAAGTGTGGCGGATGGGACCAGAAGCTCCTTGCACTGAAAATCTCCACCGTACATTACGCCGGGTAAAATATCTTGCATTTCGAAGCTGTGGTCGGTGGGTGGGTCGAGGAGACATTTTCCATAACCTTGCCTAAACTACAAACATTTACTGGAATAACTGCTCGGTTGAAATAATTTCATACATACTCGATGAACATGGACAGAAACTTTCTACTGCAAGTCGACCATTCGGATGACCTAATATTAACCGATGGATTCATGACGGTGGAAAGCCCATTCGGAAGAGATGCGTTACAACCGATCTCTTTCCCATCATGCGGAATTGCTAGTCTAGAAATTGCGGTTGTTGTAACAGCTGTTAATAATGAGTTAGCAGCGATGCATGAATATTATTCAAAATTCTCAATGTGACACACGCGGTAGGCAATTTAATGCTGTATGCAAACTACAGTAAAACCTGTCGCTGTACTAACCGCTAGTGGTACTCTGGGATAAAGCAACTTTTATTATCAATTTTACGTTTAGCGATGCACGAAATTAAAGCAATACGAAAATGATGCAATAGGAAAATATACGAACGTGTGCCCGATTTCGTGTGCGATGACGAAGCCTAAGCGTAAGCCACTGTCTTCGCAAAGAACTGCCTGGTGTTTTGGATCACATACGCCCCCTACCACAGAGGCTCCCAAAATACCGCAATTATTTTCGTCGCCACAGATATCGATTCTGAAACATAAATCAGGATTACTTCTTTCCGAGACTTAGGTTCATAAATCTTTACAATTAGTGAAAGCCCCAAGAGTTGCGTTACTCTTGTTAATAACATTCTTGTATATAAAACTTAGTACCAACAATCTCCCCGATTCCTTTATGTATCTTAAGGATTTGCACTTATTTACATATTGTGCATTGATTACTAGCGAAGTTCTGGACTGATCAATTGATCTTGTCTACCATCAGTAGCTTCATGGTCTTTAATAAAAGTACCTAATTGTTTCGTCCCATTGTAATTTTAATTGTTCCTTAGCATTTCGTTTGTCCTATTTTCCACTTTATACTTCGTTACCCTCCGTTTTCCCTTTCCAACTTACTTAAAAGCAAGCCTGCGCGGAAAGGAGAGAATCGGGAAGGGTGGATTGTAGGGACAACGCGCCAGAAAAACCACAGAGTTCGTTCGAAATTAAGAAAAGGCACAAGCCACCAACTGGTGTTCGTTCGCATATATATTCGTCGTAATTATTTGAGTTGCAACCCGTCGTTTCGTCGCCTGTCCATCCACCGTAGTGGACAATTGAACCACCAGCGCTCGTCTTTGTCGATACACAAGTAAGTTCCCTTTTATTACTTCGTCCTGTCAACCTCAATTTTGCAGTGAGCCGTTCTTACCGGTCCGCCAAGAAATACAATATTATAATTCATACTACACATTAATTTTGTCATATAAAGTAATAAATAGTTTGTACGTACATTTCTTTTCAATTTCCTTTTTAGACAAGGCACGAGAAAGATTTCCCTTCATACATACAGTCCACTTAATCGTTTGTTATTAACCCTTTGTACCAGCGCGGAACACTAATTGTATTCAGTTTATTGCGCTAAAGAAATAAAAGTGTACATTTTAATCAAAGCTATACGTAACTTATAAAAGTTATACATACATACATAATAATAATAATAAATAATAATAAATAATAAATAAAATAATAAAAATAATAATATAAGTTATTATACATACAGGGGAAGGATCTATATACCTATATATTTCTATTTGACTTAAGGCATTTAAGGCATATAGAAATCAAGTTTCCGTGTATCTCACCCTATTCGTCATCCGTCGTATCTTTCTGCAATGCCCCACGTTAGGCGTGCACAATGAATGCTGTGTGGACAAAATACCTGTCACAAAATACGACCCCCAGACAGCTCGCAGTTACCATTATTCTCAATTTTTTTAATTTTAAAATTAAAATCAGGCCATGATTGGGTTCCGGCACAAAGAATAATCCTGACGTTGCAGTAAACACTTTTATTTGTTACTCAGTTGTAAACGTTGATTAACAAGACAAAACGCAAACGGGTAAACGTCATGTTTAAACGCTACTGACTTGTAAAACTGACAGCAGACCTGTAAAACTGACAGCAGACGTGTAAAAATTTTACAAGTTAGTAATCTAGTAATTTCATTGGCCAGAATTAATGCGAAGTCTCTGTTACATGGATCACATGATATTTTAGACATTTCTTCAAGATCAATTTAAAAACTAATTATTTACGTTTACAAATGAGTAACAAATAAAATATTGTACATTATACGCCAGGTAATAGTTTTTACTGGCTCTAGGAGATGACAGGCTCGCCTGACGGATCGCCAGTCAACTTCTCCTATCGCCAGTAAAAACTCACTTACCTGGCTAATAATGTAAAATACTATAAATTTCAACAGTTTTGAAGGCCGCAATCAGATTCCGTAAAGTCTAACGGAAACGTTACATCAAATTTGGAAACAGATCAGAAATACCATTCGGGTACAACATACTTAAAGGAAAAATCTGACACATAACAAATGAATGGAATTGAACCTGGATCTTAAAATGGAATTCAAAATGTCACATAATTCCATGAAAACCTGAGATTTCAAAAATATATTCTTATTGTAACAAAGCACCCGTTTTCCGCCCTGAAGCTCAGACCCGAAGTTATGACCACACGGTATATTTGTGGAATTTGCTGAACACCCAGTATCTAGAAGCGTTTTAATGACGCTTAATGACGTAGGAGACGAGGAGTGAGCTTTGTGTGTTTTCTCTTTGCTTAATTGGTTGTCTTACCGCCGACATCGCCGATGCCGATAAGTTTCGTAAGTGAATTTATTCGTTTTGCAGTGGAGTTTTCTAATGGATGGTTTTGTATTTATAAGTACCGAAATTTTTAGCTTTTCCGTAAATTAACTTGTGCAACCGTACCGTATTTAAATCATCAGCTTTTGCTTTTGGTGTTTTAACCGTATTTGAATGTTTTGCCTTTTGCACTTTCGCCAGGTACCTTTCTTTGCATCCGTACCGTTTCATTCTTGCTTTTGACTTAAGTTACCGTACCGTATTCATTGGAATTGGCTTTTAGCGAATTTTTTTTCTATCGTTCCGTTAATTGCAAGGCAAAAGTTTTTTGTTACATTACATTGTTAAATTAGTCGCTGCTCTTTCCATTTATATTCCATTTATATGGGGGGAATAATGCTTGCTTTTTCGTCGATTCCGCCGATTTGTGTTTTGTTGTTTTCAATACCACTAGTTTTAGTTTTTCTGAGCTGATCGCCGCCTATTACTGAACCCGTGCGATTTCTGGAGCTGCCGTTTCTCCGGTTGAGTTTACATCCGAGGCTTCTGAAACCGTCCCGCAAGACCACTGTTACCGCCGACCTCGACCAGGCACGAGGCCGTTCCTTTGGTGGCGGTAGACCCGTCTAAGGCGACATAAAGCCTTTTTGTACACACCCCGTTCACAGAACGGTCGTAACAAAAGAAAACCACCATTCAAGGACCTTAAGAAACAAAAATGAGTACTCACAGTAAGTTCAAACAATAATTTAACCGCATTTGAGCATTGCTGTAATGTACAATGTATTTCCGTCGCCTCTTAAGAATTTACCAACTCGACAGTATAAAAACAATTGTTTGGTTTTATTTCACTTTTTAATTTGATGTTTTGTTGCTGTTGATTGTTCTTGTTCGTATTGTATGTTATCTTTCATATGTTTATTCATCATTTCACTATACTAAGTAGGTAGTTGCTCTAATATAATTTTGTTTTCTTTCGTTCTTTTGCTCTGTACAAATATTGTTTTGTTTTGTCGTGGTGTAGATGGTAGAGCAGCGTTTTGCTGAATCTATGCCATGAGGTTCTAAAAAACTTTTTTTTTTAATAAATACGATTATTATTATTATTATTATTATTATTATTATATCTAAATTAAGTTGCTCTGTTCAAGGAAACGCAATTATTGATGAAACACTTTCACAAAAGCTTTTACAAATTCACTTTTATTGACAATTAATTTTTACAAATTAAATCTTCCGACTCATACGACAATATTGTGATTAAATTTGGCTGACCGGGTAACTACCAAAATTTTAAACAACGTAACTTTCATAAACATTTACTGATGGGGAACGGCATTATTTCATTTCTTAAAATTACTTCTAACGACGAAGAAAGACGTACATTAAAAAAAATACGTCCAAATGCGACAAATAGTTCACGAGAAATCAGCTTTTTAATTTGGAGCTTGTTTTCGCGACAACCCAAAATGATTTTGCAAATCTGGTCATACAGAACGATTCTTTAAAGCGTATACTTGTTTTATGCTTCTATTAGATCAAAATGAATTATTTTTATTAATCAGAGTGCCAAGGGACTATTATAGCGTTCTTTCTTGTTACATTTAGGAAGTTATTCAATTTGTTAGTTAACTAAAAAAAATTCTGCAATCCGTCATTTGCAAGAATCATCAGGAAAATTTTTGAAAAAATTTGTTTTAAGGTTCCACTATGTATGAAAAAATTCAGAACGCTCTTGGGGGACATCGAGTTTGAAAGACAAAGCATCGTTTTTTAATTTTGTTTATTTAATTATGCAATAACTATAAAATCTACGGTGATCGGGTTTGTCATATTGTTTTGTTATCAAAAGAAGTGACCAAATACGGATTTTTAAAAAGATCGGATGAATGTTACTTAATAATAACAAATTGTTAATCTTTGAGATTAATTTTTTTTAAATTTTTCCATACAAAACAATAACAGTTGAGAATGAACATCCCGGGCCCATTGCATTTAATGGAAAATGTGATTCTAAACAAATTCATTTCTCTTAATTTTTTCCCTCGGAGCAAACGTGATAATTAAATAGAAATATTTGTAAACACGTTTTTTTATTTAGTTGCTGATGCGGCTATCGATAGCCATCCTTCGTGATAATTAAGGTCAAATGCGACATTTTTCCATTTTGTCTTCGGATTTTCGGATTCAGCGGATTTTTTCGTGAAGAATTATAGGTGTTGAATAGGTTGTATCGATTGTATGGGTGAACAATAAGACCTGGGGTACCTACACTATGGAGAACAGTAGGTGTTGGAGTCCTACGCTATATGGGTGAACAGTAGGCCCAGGAAGAGTCTTCTTCGCTATGAGGAACAGGAGTCGACTCAATTTTTATGCCTATGCACGCCCTTTTATACCTCGTTTATTTGGTGGAGTATATTATATCAGCTGATTAAGTTTTCACATCTCAGGTTGCGGCAATGATTTTTTGCACTCCTTCGTTCTAAATCGCGTTTTCCCAATAAAACACGAAAGTCGGGAACGTCAATTTTACAATTGACTATCTACTTTCACGCAGTAGTGCCTAAAAATTCAACGAAATTATCTATTTAGTGCGAATCATAAACTAATAAGTAGCATGATGGAAGAGTAAAAAAGAAAATATAAATACACTTTACATCATTCCCTGTAGTACGCGGGCAAAGATAAGCTTAAACCAGAAGTTTTTAACAATAAATTGACATTTTAAATTTCTAGATTTCTACTTTATCGGCATAGAGGACTTGATTTTTTTCAAAAGAATCATAATGTCGCAAAAATCTCGCGAAAAGGATTTGAATTTAAATAAATTCGATTTAACTAATCCGTGCAAAAAATAGAATACATGACTTGATGCTACATGAGAATGATTTAAATTTTGATTTCCCTTAGAAAGAAGTAAACGTTTTCTGTCTGTCTGTCCACTTGTTCCTCTTAAAGCGACAAATCGATATTTTCCAATTCTATGTTCGCTAATTGATAGGCAGAATTTGTCGCGTGAACGGGTTCCTAATACAGAGGTAACCTTTTAAAGCTTTAAATTAAACACATAAATCATTTCTGATATTTAATTGAAATTATTTCCTGCCGAGATTTAGGACTAAATTATCCAGCGGAAATGTAAGTACCTATTAAAAATTGTTTAATTTATCACCTCCCCAATGCAATATCAATAACTAGCGTATACAATTTGAAAAACCCTTTGTTACCCTAATCTGATAATACTGAAGCAATGGAGAAGTACTGCACGAGCGGAAGGTAATGGGAGTCTAAATTATGTCAACAAGTTTGTCTACATAATCCTTTGAAATAAGTAAGCTCTCGTTAATTAATTGCCGGTGCAATGGGGGAGTAATTACAAAGCACAACTCTGCATTCAAAGATTTGAGCTTAGTAATAATAATTATCAAGTAAATAGAGCTAAATTTGAAAATTACCTTATTACGTCGCTGCTTTAATTTATGAAAAAGCGCACGGATGGCCGTAAGCTTATTCTTACAATCTACAATGTCTTTTATCTTGCACGCTTCTTAGGGTTGCGACCTACTTAACGTTAACATTATTCGTCTACATTTCGTCGTGCAATTCAGTGGCTGTCGTAAAAAGCCTTGTATATCTTATACTTTTAATCAACGCTCGCTATCCGCATTCCCACGTAATCAACGTATCTCATCGCGTTTTCATACAACTTTTTTGCATTCCCTTATTTATTTGGTGCAAGCTAGCATTTTATCGTAATGGATAGTCGGAACGTACCTTGTAAGAAGAACAGCCAGGTCGTGATGGTTGGGGTGGGTGTCGTCCCCTGGATTTATTTTTTGCTGCCAGTCTTGGAAGAATTCTAATGTCTTTCTCGCGTTTTTATTTATAGCGAGATTCAGCTACCCGTAAAACGAGGACAATTAAATAACTTTTATGGTTTTAAGTGAACTGCGTACCTTATTTTCCTCTTCTTCCAAGCGAATTAATCTAACGATTGCTAAATTTATGTTTGTTCCCAGTGAGGCGTCGTGATATAAAGCGTGAGCCTAAAATTATAAATAATATAATGCGTTTGTATATGACCTTGTAAGTGATACCATGTTGAATACTGTCAGTACATAGTTTTCGACATCAATCTCCTTGTGACGTTCTAACATGGTTTTGTCGATAACCACCATTGCTTCGATGTGATATTCGGATGTGTTACAAGGTTTGCCACCGTCTTCCCTTTTGCGATTTTCGTTTACGGCTCTCCGGGCCAGAATCTTCGCTAAATTCCCTTTCATTTCGCAATTCACATCATCTAACGGTGGATCGGTTTCATGGGCGTACAAAATGTGCTCGTGTTCATTTCCACTCAAGGCATCGTGACCTTCGACAGGTTCTATTATGAAATGTCCATCCTTTGTTCGAATATACCCTGACTATAAAAGCACTTTTGGTTAATTCAACGTCTGAGACAAAACAAACTTAAAAGTAATGAACATGTTTCGGCAGCAACACGGTATCACCAGCAAGCTGGTTGGTGTAGTGTGGTGCAGTAGCTTTCTATCACTTATTCGCGTAGGTATGAGACTTTAGATTGAAGCATGTAGAGTGTCTCACAAATAAGCATTTTAAACATGAATTTTTCTATAGCCATTAGATTGTGACAAGTTTACATTGAAATGCCTACATATATCAATAGAATATTGATGAACTAGGTATAACCCTTCAATTTCAAAAACGATCTTAAGTTCTTTATATTATTATTTGCTACTGCTCATACAAAATGAAATTTTCTATGGAAAAAAGGGGTATATTATTTAAAGCATAGATCTTATTTATTCAAAACCTCAAAATAGTTGATCTGACCCTCTTACATTATAAAGACCAGTTGATCGTGTTTCAAGAAATCCAAATGATTCAGTAACGGATGTAGTTAGGCGTATGGTTACTTCTATCAAATGTAATAATTTAGAGTTGATTTTCAAAAAAAATATTTTAGATGAAATAGTTTCCTTGTATAACCACAAAAAGGATTTCGCATACATTTCCAGTGTATTGATGAGTAAATGTTGCTCTACAAACCGTGCATACCTATCGTCTACGTATCATAGGGGTAGGTACTAACCAATCCGTAACATGTGGATAATGCAACAGTCGATCCTTTTTGTCCTTTGATGTTTCCTTTATAATGGCACTGGGTATTACCAAGTTTACGTATTTTTCGATCTGATATTTTTCGGCCATCGTGAATTTCAACTATCATTCCAGGCGCGATTACATCATTGTTTGGGGATAACACCAAATGGTGTTTCTCTCCAGAAATTGGTACCATGTAGTGAATGGTATCCTCAGGACCCATGGCTTTCTCTTGTCGCTTTTCGTAATAACTTCGTTTAAAATGGTGTGGGATTGTGTGTGTTATAAACTCCCCTGTTTCGGTAATCTTGTGAGGTACCACAATCTCGTAATGGGCCGGTGTTTCACCAAAGGTGCCTAGAAAATCAAGTGTTAGTCTCCATCAACATTCCATAAACCTCGAATAATCTAAACTAAACCTGATAAAGCTCTACACAGTCATATCATAACCATGCCACAAACACAAATTCTTACCTTTGTATTTGTTCCTAGTATCACTACTGGCGCATTCGGCAGTCCAACGCAGAAAGTATAAACATATAAAAATTCGAAGAGAATACTCTGTCATTATCTGCTATTAAGCGATGACCAATTTCGGTTACCGAGCATGACATGTGACATTTCAGAATTTTTTGACTTAAAATTTAGACGCTTGGGCTCTTGACAATCCTAAATCAATTTACTACCCTGAACCGAAAAAATGGAACTGTTATTTATAATCCGCATACCTAGAACGATAAAATATGCCCTTTTAAATAGGAGCTACCCTAAAATTGCGTTTCCGCTATCGGTAGTAAATCCATATAAACATACCCAATTGTTCGGAAGCTACACAAAACGAGATATGGTAATTTCCAAGTTGTAGAGCGTGCACGACTCGCAATTTGAGGTGTGAGCAAATTATTTGACTACGCATTCCTTTCAGTTGGTAAAGAATTAACGATGTGTTATAATCTAACAGCTTTTAAATATGAAGTTTAGTTTGATGCGTAATGAACGGTTAAGTTGTAAATTCTATGCTAAATTAACTTTATTGTATCTTCATTCGTGACTTTTTAATTGTAATTGATAACTTCCGCGTTTCTGGCCGACGAACTATTGATTGGTAAAACCGACTTGCTGCAATACCTTATACGTACACAATTAACGTATCTATCTAAATACCGTTTTCGTTGAAACGCGTGTTTGTTCCACAAATGATTACGGTTTGTAATGAAAATGATTGAGGGAACCCCCCTTCCCCTCTCGCAGAAATGTATAATTTAAGAATTAAAAACAATTGCCCGCCCGTCCGTTTGTCCGTGGACAGAAGTGGGTCCTTCTGTCGTTTTGATCTACTTCTTCTGAACTACAGAGTTCTGGAATTTTTTGCAGTATATCTATACCTTGAAGATGTGCCAGACGGCCATCAAATTTCGCTGTCTTAAAGCCCCCCCCCCCCCCCCCCCATAACTTCACCAGACACAGACACAGACACTAATCGTTACTTGATTTTAATCCGTGCGATTAGTTAACCAGGCTAGACCTCAGTTCTCACAAGAAACACCGACCATAATAATAATAATAATCTTTATTGTCCAAACAGGTGTAATAACAAAACCCTAGAATAGGACAAAATTATAAGAGAGTAAAAATTAATGAAGTAACTAACTCGTAAAAAAAAATAATAACTAAGTAATATAATTAAGAATGATAGGTAAACTTTCCTGGGCGACTTTTCTTCGAAATACATCCATTGATAATGCCATAACTTTAAGAGCGAATAATCTCTCGAAAGCGAGTGTCGTAGGATCTTGAATGCCAGGTGGTCTTTAAATGTTGTGTGTAAAGAGCCTCCTCCCTTTATAACCCAACTATTTGCTTGCCGCGCTCTCTCCAGTTATAATCCGGGTGTCCGGCTGTATACCCGCGCTATTAATTAAGATTACCTGGGTTTTAAATTTGGGTATGCTTTGCGAATGTACACCGTGAACAATCACTCCTGTAAAATATCCTGGGTAATTGGGGTATAACGTAAAAACTTACCTAATTTTACTGGTCACGTCCAAAGTTAGTTATTAAAGAAATTGTCTCTGAAACTACCTGCCGGATTTGATACTGGATGCTAGCAATGTTAAATTACAGAGATAAATAAAACTACAAGGCAGGTCAAGGACCCGTTCTGTCAACGTTTCAAGTTGTGTCGCATTCAGTCATTGTTTCTGTACAATTGTACATATTTAGTTAAATTGTGTATATATGTTATAATCATTATATTACTTATATTCTACGAAGCTTTAGTTAATTAATTAGTGGTGGACCTGGATCTCCGATATCGAGCTACCCAGAACAGTCCTCTGTGTTCCTGAAAATAGGCAACCCAACATACACAGGTTGTCTTAACGAACAGGAGGTTGCGTAAAAGGGAGGTTTTAGAGGTTCTTATGTTACGAAGAGGCTAAAGGTAGCTTGTAACCGCTAGGACCGTTACAGTGGGTTGGTTTGGTAGAGCAGGTGAAACCCCGCTCACTTTATATAAATTAAAGGCCTAAAGCCCCATTCACATAGGTGGTAGTGCAGTGCCGTTGCCTTGTTGTGCGGTGCGAGTCGGTGCTGTCATGGTGACATTTGCTTTCACAATCACCGCAAAATTGGCCCGCCTACACAAGTATGACCAATCAACGACAACAGCAACAAATATGTTGCACTTCTATTGGTGCTTGCTTACGGTAGTGCAGAAAGTTTGAAGTTTACATACTTTCGGCACGCGGCTGCAATTCGTCTGCACTGCACATGTCATTGTGAATTGTCATATAGATATGCGTATTTCAAACTTTTATACAAAGGCACCGCACCGCAACAGCACTGCACTACCACCTATGTGAATGGGGCTTTAAAATAAAATAAAATAATATAAAAAAATCACTGGTTCGTTTAAGCAGTAATGCTTTTGGAGATGAAGTAGCGGTCACGAACACATCGTGAACGAATAGGAAACAGGTACAGCTCAATTCGAAGTAAGTGGAGTATGACCCATTTAATTCATATTAAAAAACGCACCTTCCATACGAACATGTTTTAATACCTACCTCATAATCAATAATTGCAAACTAAAAATCAAGACATGTTTGGTTTCAATATCACGTATGTAAGCCGTAATAAACGCGGTTCTAAGGGAAAACTAATCCACCTTGTGTAATTAAATGCACCAAATAAGTAAATCTCAATATTATTAACTTTTATATAATGAATGTACAAGTGTATAATTTCTCGGTAGGATTTCATTAACTAACATTGAGTTAAATATTCATGCCGTATGGAACGATTTTCAAGTTTCATTGGTTTATGAACTACAGTTACCTTCATTAGTAGAAAATGCCCGGCACTGACCTTTTGCGGTTCAATTAGCACGAGTAAATAGACGACAATTTCTGCTTCTAAGCTCACGGCTTCCACAAGTTGTAATCAACGGTTACGCAAATAAATCGGTAATCAGTGCTATCTGATGATACGAAAAGCAATTACAAAATATTCCCAGCGGTCGCACTTAATATGTAACGTGACGGAACACTGGTAATGTGCATTATTTTTATTTTATTACCCGTAGCACTTTTTTTTAGCGGCGACCCGTTTGAAAGTATTTCGGGGATGAGTAAGATACGAAATTAAAAATTTACTACGTCATACTCCCACTTCAAATATATGCCAATATAAAAAGCATAAAATTAATATTAAAAGTTTAAGAAGGATGAGATGAAGTGTACAATAGCGTAAAATGGAATAGAAGTAAACCGCAGCTACAATTAAGCAGTTTTTCGAGAAATTCGAGCGGCCTGAATCTTACTGATAAGAAGTAATTGAAACCCTTAGAGCACCGTCACACTCTTAACTTATTGCCAATTTTACATATTTTATAATTTATGTTTTAAAATGAATATGAATATTCAGCTGTAAAGTTTTGGTTTACTTAAAACTTTAGTGTAAAGTTGCTCTCAGTGTATAATTCTGAGTGCCAGAAATTGGGACTAAGTTTTCTCTCAATCTTACTATTGGCATAATTACTTCACAATTCATATCTATGTAATCCGATTTGCACAATGCATGCAAAGTGCGCTGGTTTACTTAGTTCATCTCAGAAATGATACAATTGCCTCTGAATCTTAAAAGATGTTCATTCGTTTATCACAAAATTAATTTCAAATAATTATACTAACCGGGGTTGAAGGCGTCCACAAAAGTCTAGTTAATAATTTTCGACATTTTTCGCAAGCCAACAACGACTGTCTTTCTTTGTTTTTGTGTTGGTTTAACTCTTAGACCATATAGTACAGTTTAACTACACGCGTCGTTTGTAGTGCGTTCTTTTTACTTGATATTATGCCCAAACATTAAAAGAAACACAGCCCTTCTCCAGATGCGTTACACGTCTTTGGAAGTTTGCTTAAGAAAATAGATCGACGACTAGAAAACGTTGAAAAAAAAACAAAGCCGCCGGTGGAAATCACCGTCTCCGTGTCCTTCTGATAGCGAATGTAGCCGGTCACCATTTTCGCCGGAAGGATTATCAAGCTTAGCTTCTCCTGGCCCTTCTGGTGTTAATGAGGAAGTAGCAGATACAGAATTGTTGGACTGCTCAGCCGGGATAGAAAATTTTACACACAATGGTAGTAAGTTGGAATGCGTTTTCTATTTACAACTGTCAGTGAGAACAGTTAGTTCGCCGAGTGAGGTGAACCTGTTTTATTTTGCCTTTATTAATTTTTTAACATAGGTACCTACCTAGTGTGATAGAGTTCTTGTGCCTAGGGTGCCACTAATTGGGTCCTTACCCTAGAAGACCGACTGTAAATTCAGTTATGTCTTTGTTATATTGGGTTTTATAATTTAATACTGTCTTGACCATTCCAAGCTTTAAAGTTTTTGGTTGTGTAAGGCCGGGGGTTTTTATTTGTTGCTTATATTTATCTGGCGTTGCAGATGAAACAATTCAGGAGCTTCGTGAAGACGAGTCTGATGACGTGCTTCCGCCAGCTATATTAACTCTGTTAGGTGAAGATGACATGGAAAAAGGATTTTTCGATTCACTCCATCCGGACTTGGCTTCTCGCTGGACAAAATTGTTAAAATTAGGGTTGTCGGAAGACATAAAAACAAATCTAATCAAAAAGTATCTTCCACCGAAAAACTGCCCGGATTTGTTACCTCCAAAAATTAACCCGGAGGTAAAAGTTGCGGTGCAAGACGGTAAATTCCGGAGACATACGATTGAGTCAACTTCAATCCCAGTTAAGTGCTGCGATTTCTGATGGTGTTGGTTGTGTTGTCACAAATTTAATTAAGGAAGGAAGCGGAGAACACAATCATATCGTACATAGATGTAGGACGTTTGCTGAGTGACATCTACCACACCGAGTCACGTAGGGACCTGGACGCACACAATTTAAATAAGGATTTACGGGATACCTTAAAAAACACTTAAAAACACATAAAGGCCGCAAAAAGATTTGGAAAAATCTGCAAATCAATTAAAGGTACCTAAGAAGCGTACATTCTCTGGACCGTCTTTACCTTCGAGACAAAGAAACGCAAAACGTCCGTTGTTGCAGAAGAAGGGAGTGCAACAATTGAGACAAAGTTACCGAACTCCCTACACCCAAACCAGAGCACCAGCTTACACTCACCTGAAGTGGCAGGAACGTTACAAACATTTCCAATCCAAACAGGACATAGGGATCGTTAGAGGTTAGTAGTCCCTGTGGAAGACTCAGACAGTTTGCGTTTAGATATGGAGTGCGTTATTTATTGACAATAGGATAGTGTCCTATATTAAGGGATTTTACATTCCCTTTCATACTAACCCATCAT